CAGTCGGGGCTGCCTGCACCCCGGAAGTCCCGGCCTTCCCAACGCCTCCGGCCACCGGACCCCTTTTCCCAGACTGCTGGGTTTGGGCCAGAGCGCAGAGGATGACTGAGCCACGGAACCGTGTCCGTTAGGTGCAACGTTTGGCCTCCTGGCCTCGAAGTGTTTCTTCTGATCCACCTGGGGCTCACTCTGGGTTTCACAGGCAGCTGGGTCCTGGGAAGGGCTCTCCTGCGCGGAGTGGGGTTGCCTTGCTCCGGGAGATGGGGCTTGCGACGCTCCCTGGGACAGAGAGAGAGAGAGAGCATGCACCCAACTTGCCTTTAAGGAGAAACTGGTGCACCGCACCAAGGTGGAATTTTGGCTCTTGCTGAGACTGCCCTGGGGAAGCTAGAGACGGGCCGCCTGTGCTGTCTTTCTCCACTCACCTGCATGTTCATCCTCCAGTCCATCCATCCATCCAGTCAGTCATCCACCCACCCACCAGCAAGCTCATCCTTCCAAACACCGACCCTTCCGCCCATCTTTCCTTATACCCTGACAGCCCTCATCCAGCCCTCTACACTCCTATCCATCCATTTACCCATCGGCACATCCAGCCATCATTTCCACATTTTTCAACTATTCTTGCAGGATCCATTCCCCTTTGTTCCATTCGTTTATCCAACGGTAGATCTTTCAATCTATCCAATCACCTCGTCTCTCATCCAGCCTTCCATATGTCTCATCCATCCTCCCATCCATTCTTTTCCATGTCTCTTCACAAACACACTGGCCCAACCCATACCCTCCTCTTCATCCTCCTTTCCACCTATGTACCCGTCTATGCATGCATCCATCAGTTGCCCAGCCATCATCCACATCTGCATTTGGGCCAATTTTCCCATACCCACATGCCTAGCCACGCTTCCTTGCCAACATGCACACTGCCATCTATGCAAACATTAATTCACTTTCCCCCATCTAACCTCTCTAGGAAATAGCAAAGAGAGGAGAGGATCATTAAAGTCTTCAGGATAGACACGTTGACATTGAAAATGTGCATGCCACACCATGATTCCTAACACAAATTCATATACATATGTGTACAGATGCATAGTCCCTACTCTGGGCGACCCCAGGTGTGTCAGAGGAAAACTGTCCCCCAGGGGGTTTCAGTGGTTGATTTCTAGGCACCTATGGTAGGTGGAACCTTCCGACGTTCCAGCAGCAGCAGAAAGCATGAAACCATTTATAATATATGATGATTCAATATTTGGACATCACAAGCAGTACTTTTTAAAGATCATTTTTTGGAGGCTTTTACAGCTCTTAACACAATCCAGGCATCAATTGTATCAAGAATATTTGTACATATGTTGCCATCATTATTTTCTAAGTGTTTACTTTCTATTTGAGCCCTTGGTATCAGCTCCTCTTTTTCCCTCCCTCCCCACACCTCGCACCCTAGTGATCCCTTGATAATTATAAATTATTATTTTCATATCTTACACCGACCATATCTTCCCCCCTGCCTCTCCTCACTCCCCCCTACAATCCTGGTATGGCTACTCCCATTTCTGTTCCGGAGGAGTTTATCTGACCTGGATTCCATGTGTCCTGAGCTCTTATCTGTACCTGTGTACATGCTCTGGCCTAGTCCTAAGTGAAAGGTAGGATTGGGGTCATGAGAGTGGGGGTGCGGAAGCCTGAAGGAACCAGAGGAATATTGCATGTTTCATCGGTGCTCTACTGCATCATGGTTGACTCACCCATTCCTTGTGACCCTTCTGTGAGGGGGTGTCTCATTGTCTACAGATGGGGTTTGGGTCTCTGCTCTGACCCCTCTCATTTTCAATATGTGTTTGTTTGTTTTGAGTCTTCTGATGCCTGTTACCTGATCCCGACAACACCTCATGATTCAGACAGGCTGGTGTACTTCTTTCGTGTGGACTTGTTGCTTCTCTGTCAGAAGCAATATTTGTTGTGAATGGAGCCACTGAAATCAAAGCTACTAACAAAGGTGGAAGCCACCTTATACTTGTACTTTTGAAGCCACCCAGAGATGGCTCAGGGAAAAAGAGAGAAAAAAAAGTGGGGGGGACCTGGAGATCTATGTCTGAAAAATGGGCCACTGGACACTCCGTGGAGCCCAGTTCAACTCTCACACCCGGAGCTGCCACCTATCTACCGACGCCATGGTAACTGTCTTATGTCTGTGTGCACCCCGGTTATTATTGACAGTGAAATTATATGAGAGCGTGGAAAAGGGAAAGGGCCTGGCTTCGTCATTGAGGAGAGAGTGGTGTTGAATGACTAGAGCATTCGATCCGGTGAAGAGTTGGGGAGGCAGACAATAAGACAGGAAGCTAGAGAGGTGGGAGGGGCTAGGTTGTACATTATTCCAGAGAGCTTGAACTCGATCGATCGTGTAGGAACTAGGTAGCCAGTACAAGTTTTGGAGGTGGGGACAGCCTGTTTGACAACAGGTGGATCTAGGTGCATTTCTATAGACAGTGTTTGGGCTGAAAATCATTGTCTGCTGCAACGTTATCTCCAAGGTCCCCAGGTCTCCAGGGTGAAATGAAGGCAGGGCTCCTGAGTCCCCATCCGAAGAGCTGGTGCTTTGAAAAATGTTGCCGATGGTCAAAAAGAGTTGGTCCCACTGCTATTATCAGGTAGAGTTTCAAGCTTTACTCACCGAAGAAGCCACTACTGGTGAGCTCCAGGCGCAAAGGCACTGGATCCGTGGCCTTGACCCCTGACTGTACCTCCGGGCTTTTCATCTTTTTGCCTTTGGAAGAAGGGAGTGGAGTGGTGAGTAGTCACTGGAGGAGACTTTGTCTCTCGCTCTGTGTTTCAGGAAATGTGGAAGTCCCTTAGAGGCTGGCACGGAAGAGGCCAGAGCAAAGTGTCTGTGAGGACTACGCTTCTTCTCCCCTGTTGTTGCTGCTGTGGTTAGGGGGCTTCTGGTCAGTTCCAGCGCATCGTGACTCCAGGGAGGGCAGACCAAAACCTGAGCCGTCTTGCACCATCCTCGCATTTATTCTTATGTTTGAGTCTATTGTTGCAGCCACCGTATCAATCCATCTGGTGGAAAGCCTTCCTCTTTTTCTCTGTCTCTGTGCTTTACCAAGCATGATGTTCGTCTCCAGGGACTGGTCTCTCCTAATAACCTGTCCAAAGTGTTTGAGGTGAAGTCTCGCCATCCTTGCCTTTAAGGAATATTCTGGCTATCCTTCTGCCTAGACAGACTTGTTTGTTCTTTTGACAGTCCGTGGTGATTTCAATGTTCTTCGCCAGCACCACAATTCAAATGCCTCCATTCTTCTTCCGTCTTCCTTATTTGATATCCAACTTCCACGTGCATGTGAGGTCATTGAAAATACCATGGCATGGGTCAGGGGCACCTCAGTCCTCAGAGTGACATCTTGCTTGTCAACACTTGAAAGAGTCTCGTGCAGCAGATTTACCTATGCAACGTGTCTTTGCATCTCTTGACTGCTGCTTCCATGAGCATTGACTGTGGATACAAGCAACCTGAAATCCTTGACATCTTCAAGCTTTTCCCTGTTTATCAGATGCTACCTACTGGTGCAGTTGTGAGGATCTTGGTTATCTTTACCTTGAGTTGTCATCCATACTGAAGGCTGCACTCCTTGATCTTTTTCAGCAAGTACTTCAAGTCCACTTTCAGAAAGCCAGGTTATGTCATCTGCACAGCACAGCTTGTTAATAAGCCTTCCTCTGATCCTGATGCAGCATTCTTCTTTATATAAGATAGCTTCTCTGATTATTTGTGCAGCGTGCAGATTGAATCAGTGTGGTGACAAGATACAACATTGAAGCACACCTTAGTCAGTTAGCCAAGCAACTATCTTACAAATGTCTTGAGATAGATGTATAAGTGCTTCATCAGCTGCTGAAACATTTCAAGTGCTACTCCATCAGTTCCTTGAGTCTTATTTTTGGCTAATGCTTTCAGTGCAGCTTGGACTTCTTCATTTGGTATCATTGGCTCTTACTCATATGTTACTCTTAAAATGGTTGACTATCGACCAGCTCTTTTTGGCACAGTAACTCTATATTCTTTCCATCTTCTTTTGATGCTTCTTGCTTCATTCCATATTTTGCCCATAGAATCTTTCAATATTGCAACTCAAGGCTTGAGATTTTTCTTGAGTTCTTTCAGTTTCAGATATGCTGAGAGTGTTCTTCCTTTTTGGTTTCCCTCCTCCTTCTACCCTCACTCAACCCACAGAAGTTCAACTTGTATCCATTGTACACATGAGAGCTCTCTATCTATCTATCTATCTATCTATCTATCTACATATACATTTCTCTCTCTCTCTCTCTCTCTCTGTCTCTATAGAGAGAGACAGAGAGAGAGAGAATGCAAATAATTCAAGAGGCTAGGCAATATGAAGAAAATGTGACATTGACACTGGAGGATTGCTTATTAACAACCTGCGATATGCAGAAGATACAACCTAACTTGCTGAAAGCTGGGAGGGTTTGAAAACAATAGCAACACTTGGTGATGAAGATCAAAGCCTGCAGCCTTCAAAATCCATCGCCACTCGATGTAAAGGAAACCAAAATCCTCACAACGCAACCAATAGACAAGCAAC